TCTAAGAGAGAAAGCAGCCGGCTGGCAAACAGGGATGGATTTTACCCCAGGCTTTTCTTAGGAAGAAGGTGTGGTTGTGTTATGTACACTGTTAAGCTCCTGATCACTTCTGCTTGTATCATGAAAGATTCTTTGAGGGAGAGCTGAGAGGGGAGAGGTTTCTTGATGTTTCATGATCTGGCATCCTATTTTATACTCCCTCAGGCCTGTCATCCTACCTGTACATGGGGCAGGATGGCTGGAAGCAAAAGTGCACATCCTTCCTGATGGGCTCTGTCACCAGTTTGCTTTGTTCTATGCTACTGGCTAGGACTCAGAAGTGTTTTGGAAGTACAGCGTTAGTTTTCCCTGAGCACCGTGATCTGTTATACCAAGGTACAGTACTCTGGAAGTAGGCTGTCCTGTTGTAAAGAATACTGACTTTTAGTTGGGTATCTGAAGACACTCACCTCCCCACCCATTCTCTCTGTCCTTTCAGCTCTTTCTTCCAGTCACGTAGACTCTGTGGGCACCCACCCCTTCTCCCACACGCCCCTTGCGTTCTGCTGCCCTGTTCTCTGGTGCTCATGCAACTCTGCTCTAGCTGTGCTCTGCCCTCCGTGTCCAGTTCAGTACGTTTCTTGTGTGTTTTCTATCCCCGGCTTGTTTCACGAGCATGGCCGCAGATAGCCATCTCTTCGGCATCTCAAAGGCTGCCTTTCCTTCCTCTCCAGATGTTTGCTGTACCAGTTCCTGAGAGTGCGGTTTTGGGTAAACTAGATGGCTGTTCTTTTGTGCACAGTTCAATTCTTTGGTGCAACACCTCTGAAGCTTTGCTGAGAGTTTGGGAAAATAAATGGGGCTGTCTCCTGACCCTTTCATATCCTGCCAAAACTTTATCCCTGTTAGAATGGCCGTTTCCCTTTCTTTCATCTACTAACATGAGGACTGAGCAGCAGGGAGATACCAAAAGCAACAGTCAATGGGTGCAATGCTCTTTAATAGTTCACAAAAATAATGCATGTTTTGTAAGCTTTCCAGTGAACTAGCCAAACAGTGGTTATTTTTCATAGTTAATCAACATACAAGGGAGTAAACTGAACAAGTCTTCAACAAAAGCTGCTTCTAAATAACACTAAAGACAGACATTTCTTAAATATTTGAAAAAGCATCAAATTCCATTTGTGTATAAGCATGCTTTTCAAGTGGATAGATGAAATACTACAATACAATTCCCTTATCTTTTTCTCAGTAGAAGGTAAGATCTGATTTCCAGCTTAGTTCTGTGTTCTACAGATCATCACTTAAACACAACCTTTATATCAGTGTTAGCATTGAAGACTAAGATAGCTTAGCTATTATTTAGTCTTTCCAAGCATGCTCTCTGTTTGTGAATGAACAAACAAATGAACAATCATCATCTGCAGTTTCTACATTATCACCAGAAAGTAATGCCACCAGATGTTTCATCTGGTTATAACTTCAACCTTAAAAAAAAAAAAAAAAAGTAGTTTTGAGAGTCTGTTGAAATGTCCTTGGGTTTGGGGATTTTTTTGGCGTGAAGGATTTTTGGGAGCTTTAGCTTGAGATGGAAAGTTGTAGCTCACATAATGCATTCAGATATTCTTCATTGTCGGGACACAATGCAACGGCTTTCTCATAGCACTCAATTGCTTTTTGTTTCTCACCATTTAGATTATGAATGAGCCCAAGTGTACCAAAATCTGTTGCATCTCCTAAACCTCCCTGAATTCTCCGTTCCAACAATTGATTCAGAGCACTTCTGCACTTACTTCTTACATAAGAATCTTTTTCGATTTTCAGCCCTTCTGTGTAATACCTAATGGCTTCAGATTCCGATTTCATGTGAAAACGCTGAAAATTGCCATAATTGTAGTAGAATTCTTGTTTATCATCATCGACTAGAATGTTTATCTGAAACGCTTTCTGAAATGTCTCTTCTGCTTTTTCATACCTCTTTCCTTCTGCATACATCTTTGCTAGGTCAATATGGGCAGAAAAAAATTTTGTCTTTTGGTCAATCGCTATTTTAAAATGAAAAATGGAAAGTCGGATGAGTTCCTCCACTTGCTCTTGAGGGGGATATCTTGTAGTCTTTTTCAATTGAAACAGCTTTGCTCTGTAGCACAGTCCTAGTTGGTGATGCAAAAAGGCAGATCTTGGTGTCACTGCTATGGCCTTTTTCAAAATCTTCAGTGCCTTGTCCACTTCTCCTTTCCTTCTGTAAAACTTAGCAGCATATCGCAGGAGATAAGGAAGGTCGGGGGTTTTCTGCATTGCTGCTTCAATGTACGTCTCCCCTTCATCAACTCGCTTGAAGTCCTGAAGTTTTAATGCAAGTAATGCCATAATGAAAGTATCCTTTGGATTCAGTTGCACTGCACGCTTAAGGGGCTCGATGGACAGGCTTTCATCTTCGCGTTGTCTGTGAGAAAAATCTTCCAAACGATACATTGCTATTGCATAGCCGGCATTAAATTCTGGGTTATCGGGTTCATTCTTCAGAGCATTTTCAAAGCAATTCTTTGCTCTCATGTAGTATTTTCCCCCAAACTTTAATAATGCCCATCCTTGCTCAGCATAGATCTCTGGAAGCTGAATCTTCCATTGAGCAGTACTTGAAAGCTTTTTGCAGCTGTTTTCCACTTTGTTTACGTAAGTTTGAGCTTCTTTGTATCTCTCCATGTGGTAATAGATCCAGGCATAGTTCCCCCAGGTAACAAGACTTCTCCTGGCAATTTCATCTGGATAATTTTTTTTAATTTCTTCTTCGGCTTTTTGGAGATTTCTGAGGGCTTCCTCATTTGAATTCTTTAGGTGGCATACATAGGCTAGCAGATTATAATTTGTGATGTTGGATTTAATAAAAAACTCGATCTGATCGACTATAGTGTCCTCTAGCTCATCAAGGTCCACATCCTGCTTGAGCAAAGTCCATGTAAAATGACATTCTAGCTCCAGCAGGGACCTCTTCAAGGAATTCTTGGAAATGGCACTAGAAGAAAACAAAGAAAAACTTACTTATACTCCCTTTGCTTTTTGCTACTCTTGTTTTTAAACCAGGCATGACGTACTTCAAAAGCAGGCAATACCTCACCTGGTGCCACTAGTCTCAAACAAGCCAAAGCTGTGGGAAGCCATAAGTCTAAAGAGCTGCATAGTTATTTTAGTAATTCTCCTTGCCAGTGTATGAGGGCACCTCTTACGTAGCAACAGAGCTGGTGGTCTGGATGTCAAAGAGGAGGCTAGTCTCTATGGTAAAGCTGGCACACCTCTGGGCCTCAGGAACATATTTCCTATGCTGGGAACAACTGCTGAAGCCTACCCAAAAGAGGTAATCAAATAAAAAACTTCCTCCAAAATATAGAGAAAGTAATATAGTGCCTCTCCCATGTCTCTGTATATTTTATGGTTTGGTTTATAAATTTAATTTTTAATTTCCTGCATTTGTAAATCCTTGTTTGTTAGATCATAGCAGCATTTTTATGTTATGATTATACTGATCTATCCAGTAGCTGGCTCCCGCATCCCACCAGTCTCCCCAGTTGCTGGCACTTGGGTGTACAGGCCCCCGAGGGTGCAAGCCCACTCCACTTGCTGGTACAGACCACTCCCTCACTAACCCTATGGATCCCCAGAAGCTGGCTTTGGACATCCAGTAGCTGGTCAGGGATCCTCTCGTTACCCAAGTGACCAGACCCTGTTTACATACCACTGGTCCTTAACACCCCTTTATCCCTCTCTAGTTTTCAGTATTTGTTCCTTCCCAAATCACCCAGATCCCTCATTTCCCCACCTTTGGTCCCCTCCCCAAACATCCCATAAGTCGTCTCGCACAACCCCCAAATGCTTTTCCCTGCATCCCGTAATGTGTCCCATATTCCTGGGCAGTTCAGACTGTAGGGCACTCCTGTGGACCCCTAATGCTGGGTGTCCCTCCGGCCCGTGGGGCTGAGGGTCCCCTGGGGCAGCCCTGGGAGAGCCGGGTGGGGGCTCATGTCCCTGACTGGGGCAGTGGGGAGCCCCCACCTGCCCTTGTGCCTCTGTGCTCCTCCGTGTGCATGGGGATGGGCTGATGGCTCTTGGGACGGGCCTGGGAGCCACCGGGGCAGGGTGTTGTTTGGGTTCTCCCTCCTGCCATTGCCTGCCTGTGCCCCTGTGTAGGTGCGCAGACCAGCTTTTATCACACAGTCTATCAAGGACAAACCCTTACAATGCAGAGAAGACAACACTTTAGTCCACATTGTGCTCTCCCTTAAAGAAGGAGTTATACACGACCTTATAACCGAGGCTTCTCAGCCAAATCCTTTGTTGTTAGAAAGGCTACTCTGCTCTCCCTCCTGTAAAACCTAGAGGGTCTAACAGCCTGCATGGTACAAGGTGTGCTGCTGCTCAACTGCACAATCATGTAAAAGAGGAGATGTCTTTTGGGTAAAAAAAAAAAAAAAGGAGTGGAAAGACTGGAAAATTATGAGGAGGCAAATCAAGGAGGAATCGGGAAGCAATTCTTACAGGTTCTGGGACAGCGGGAAGGACACTGGGGAAAGCGACACTGGGGAAAGCAACGCTGAACACAGGTTTCCACCCAAATGATCTGACACAGAGGTACTGGAGGAAAATCAGACAAAAAAGGTATTTATAAATGCTGTTAACGCATAAGTTTGTCTTACGGACTTTTTTGCCTTTCTCAAATAATCTCCTCTGCCTAACTGATGTTTTTGATTCCTATTAACAACAGTTCCTAATTAGAAAGCTGCATGTGAGGTAATTACAGTTATTTTGGGATGAAGGGGAAGTGAGAGTAAGTTCCTGTTATTATTGCTATCTTGTTAGAAACCTTTGGCTACAGCTGAACACCAGAGAACAGATATTGGCTCCCACATCAGCCGGAATAA